TCAATATGTATCAGAAAATCTAATAAAAATGGAGGGTGATTTCGGAGCCATTTTTTTGGAAAAAACCATGGGCTATAGTACAGGGATTTTTTCTGAAATTTGGAGTTTTTAAAAAATGGTCATAACTCGAAAAGTTGAAGTTGGAATCGGCTCAAACTTTCTACATAGCATAAGTGCATCAATATGTATCAGAAAATCTAATAAAAATGGAGGGTGATTTCGGAGCCATTTTTTTGGAAAAAACCATGGGCTATAGTACAGGGATTTTTTCTGAAATTTGGAGTTTTTAAAAAATGGTCATAACTCGAAAAGTTGAAGTTGGAATCGGCTCAAACTTTCTACACAGCATAAGTACATCAATATGTATCAGAAAATCTAATAAAAATGGAGGGTGATTTCGGAGCCATTTTTTTGGAAAAAACCATGGGCTATAGTACAGGGATTTTTTCTGAAATTTGGAGTTTTTAAAAAATGGTCATAACTCGAAAAGTTAAAGTTGGAATCGGCTCAAACTTTCTACATAGCATAAGTGCATCAATATGTATCAGAAAATCTAATAAAAATTGGGGGTGATTTCGGAGCCATTTTTTGGAAAAAACCATGGGCTATAGTACAGGGATTTTTTCCGAAATTTGGAGTTTTTAAAAAATGGTCATAACTCGAAAAGTTGAAGTTGGAATCGGCTCAAACTTTCTACACAGCATAAGTACATCAATATGTATCAGAAAATCTAATAAAAATGGAGGGTGATTTCGGAGCCATTTTTTTGGAAAAAACCATGGGCTATAGTACAGGGATTTTTTCTGAAATTTGGAGTTTTTAAAAAATGGTCATAACTCGAAAAGTTGAAGTTGGAATCGGCTCAAACTTTCTACACAGCATAAGTGCATCAATATGTATCAGAAAATCTAATAAAAATGGAGGGTGATTTCGGAGCCATTTTTTTGGAAAAAACCATGGGCTATAGTACAGGGATTTTTTCCGAAATTTGGAGTTTTTAAAAAATGGTCATAACTCGAAAAGTTGAAGTTGGAATCGGCTCAAACTTTCTACACAGCATAAGTACATCAATATGTATCAGAAAATCTAATAAAAATGGAGGGTGATTTCGGAGCCATTTTTTTGGAAAAAACCATGGGCTATAGTACAGGGATTTTTTCCGAAATTTGGAGTTTTTAAAAAATGGTCATAACTCGAAAAGTTAAAGTTGGAATCGGCTCAAACTTTCTACATAGCATAAGTGCATCAATATATATCAGAAAATCTAATAAAAATGGAGGGTGATTTCGGAGCCATTTTTTTGGAAAAAACCATGGGCTATAGTACAGGGATTTTTTCTGAAATTTGGAGTTTTTAAAAAATGGTCATAACTCGAAAAGTTAAAGTTGGAATCGGCTCAAACTTTCTACATAGCATAAGTACATCATTATGTATATATATATATCATGAGTTTGGAGCCATTTTGAATTAATTTAATAATTATTAATAATTAATTATCATTGCAGGTACTGTATGCAAATATTCATTGAGATACCTTCCGCCCACACACTAAATGAGTACTTTATATTCTGCTGACGACACTAGAACAGGTAACACCTCACCTACTTTAAGTTTCTTCCCTTCTCGTCCGTTACTTGGTGCAGGCCCCGCCCTAAGCTCCGCCCAAGGACTACCCAATCGTCCGGTGGCTCTCATGCAAAGAGACACGCCCACTAATTTATCTGATTCTGACAAATTAGGAGGTGGAGTCTCCCCGTCAGTTGATTCAATGTATTCCCCTAATGATACTCATGGAATGGGCGTGTCAGGGGGTGTGGCTAAAGGAGCTAGGTCCAAACCTCTCACCACTTCTTTTGCTCTTCCGTCACCAAAAGCTAACAGGGACATCGTGTTGCTAGGGAACGGTAGCCACGACAATCGTAGCCGTGACAACGAAGACAAGGATTCCGTATGTAGTGAGCCCGTTAGAGGGCGTGGCTTTGACACACCTCCAGTCACGCCTACCCCGTCTCTACCAGGAGGACTCTCTCTTCAAATGCCGGCACACTTGAGGACACAGCAGGGAAAAAAGAAAAAGGTTACAAGTCTGGAAGATAAGAAAGAAGAGAGAGAAGGAGAAACTGATGAAATAGCAAGTGGCCGCTCTACCCCAATCATCACCTTACCTGAAGTACCTAAGCAAAGACCTCAATATGCGTCACAGTTCTCACCATTACAGTCCGTACGTCCTTCACTATCAGCCTCTCTACCTGTTACTAGATTAAGAGGAGGAGATGATGTCCTTAGTCTTAAAGAGCAACTGAAGCAGCTCATGAGAGAAAAGGCTAATCTTGAAGGTCAACTTGAGAGCGTTATTGATGAATGTCAGAGCACTTTAAAGGAAAGGTCACAGCTGCAAACTAAACTAGCACAAGCCGAAGTAGAACTAAGCACAATTCACACTGATCTGACTAATAGTCTAACAGCTGCTGGTAGGGAGGCTGCTGAGGAAGAAGAGGGAGGGAGTGACTTACAGACTGAGCTAAACCGTTTGGAATCGACTTTAAGTCAGAAGAGAAGTGAACTTGCTTCAAAGTCGCGTGAGATCGAAAAAGAGAGAAAAACTGTTAAAGATCTATCAGACGAACTTATCAGTGCTCGCGGTCTTCTTAAAGAGAAAGAGAGAGAATTAGGCGAGATACAAGAACAAGTTAGGCGACACTCGAGTGTCCTTGAGGAGAAAGATGACGCCATTGAAGAACTAAAGAGACAAAACCTTTCCTTAAAAGGTAGTCTTACCAGCATGGAGTCATCTAAAGCATGGCTGAAAGAACAGCTTGAATCAGCTATCGATACCAAAGCAAAACTACAAGAAGAACTAAGAGGAGTTAGAGCCAGTGGATTAACACAGAGTATAAAAATGGAGGGTCTACAAAAAGAAAGTGATCTACTTAAACAACAAGTGGCAGATCTTCAGGGCAGCATATTAAGAGATAAAGCTAAACTAGTGACGGAGTTGGAGGCCATTGAAGCTGACGTGATTGATAAAGAAGGAACATTTGAACTGGTCCAGGCTGAGAAGGAGCAGCTACAGGAACAGCTGCAACTCAAGTCGTCTCAACTTGATAAGATCATATCCAATTTGGCTGATCAAAAGGCGGCCAATGCTCACCTGATGAGTGAACTTGATGACGTCAATGCTACTAATAGCTCGTTAGAATCTCGTTTAAAAACTTTAGAAGAGGAAAATAACAAAATGACTCAGCAAACGGAACAATTCCAGCGACAGTTGGCAGTCAAAGAAGAGGAGGGAAAGGAACTTAAGAAATCAAAATCAACTTTACAACAACAGCTCCAATCAAAGGAGCTATCGACCGTGAGTAAGGACGGGGAGATACAGAACCTGAAGGACTCTATAGGGATTCTTAAACATGAGCGGGACACTCTGAATGAGTCCAAGAAGGTTTTAGAGGAAGAACTCTCTCGCCGTCAAGAAACCAGTGAGCGCCTTGAGTCTGATTTTGAGAACTCTAAGAACCAGCTAGCTCAGTTGGAGTCACAGCTTCAAGCCGAGAAAAGGAAGCGTCAGCTTTTAGAGTCCGAGGTTTCTGATTTTGAGTCCCAGTTAGCCGAGAAACAAGAGGAACTGGAGGAGAAAGAGAAATCAGTAACTGCCCTCCAGTCACAGTCGGAAGATATCAGGCAGCACTTTAACTCACTTCAGAACCGGTTCGAAGAGATTGAGAATGAAAGTGGAGCTAGTTTAGAGGAGAAGGATAAACTGATTGAGACGCTTAAGAGCGACCGGAAAAAGGCGTTGGATCAAGCGAGGGCCTTGTCAGAAAGTGAGAGAGGGATGAGAGAGGAAGTGGCAAGACTAAAAGAGGAAAATGCCAACTTGCAGGGGCAGCTGGACTCTGCCGTGAGCTCAGGACCACAGCTGGAGGATTTCAAACAAGTCTTGAAAGAGAAAAATACACTGGATAGTCAGTTAGCGTCTGAGAGACTCAATCATCAACAAGAAGGAATTAAACTTCAAGCGAAAGTGGCCAGGCTTGAGACAGAGCTGAAGGACGTTAGGAAAGAAGGGAAGAAAAAGGAGAGAGAGTTTGAAAAGAAGCAAGAGAGTCTGGACTTGATAATTGATGATCTACAGAAACAACTTGAAGAAACTAAAAAGAAAGACCTGGTAAGTGTGTACCATTTCGACCCATGCATGCAGTACATGTACTAGTGGTTAATAATGTAGTGAATTAGTATTAGTGATTTGGTGGCTCCTTGAATAAATTTCTTAATCTTAAGCTAATTTGTTATTTCGTGAGCTATTGTTCTCATATTAATTATTACAGGCTAGTCAGCCATCAACGGATGAGGTAGATGGTCTTCATGAAGCAATAGAAGAGAGAAACAACATGATAGAAACCTTGGGCAAAGACAAGACTAAGCTACAGGAGGAGAACACAAGTTTAAGAGAAAGATTGAGAGAGAGTGACACTCGCCTAATGGAGTTAGAACAAGAAATGGAGGACGCACTACAGCAGCTAAAGGAGGAGGGAGAGATTGAGAGAGAGCGATTTGAAGAAGAGAAGCAGCAGCTGGTCATTGAAGCACAGCATTTAAAAGGTCGTCTGTCAGGTATCAACAGGTCCCAACAGGTAATGCGGGAACATACAACAGGTTTAGAGAAATCTCTAGCTTTTAAGGAATCACAGATACAGAAACTGACCGGCGAGAACAATCGAGCAATTGCCGAAAAAACTAATGAAATTGAGTCCTTGAAGACGTCCGTGACGGAACTTCAAGACAGAGAGAGTTCATTAAAGTCCGAGCTACAGCAAGCTTTGAACTCCGCCCTTCTTGAGTCCCAAAGAGCCGACGGGATGGCAAGAGACCTTGAGAGACTCAAGGAAGAATTGGAGAGGACCAGAGGAGCTTCATCCAGTGATAAAGAACTCAGAGAGCTCAGGGAAAGTGTAGCTAACCTGGAACAAGTCAAGACCGACCTTCAGGTAACTAATTTTTAATGGGCAACCAGTAACAATTATTATATTATTATTGTTATTATTACTATTATTAGGGCGAAGTTCGTATTCTTAAGCAGCAGCTGTCGTTAAGTGAGGACAATGTTGAGTCCATTCAGCGAGAACTGGACGAGAAGGAACAGCTGATCTCCATATTAGGACAAGACCTCAAAATGACCAAAGAAGAGTTGGACCAGTCACAAAATGAAGTAAAATGGCTCCTTTATTAATTTCATTTTTTCTTTGCAATAGATGAGCACATTACAGAGTCTCCTCCATGAGAAGAAGTCTCCTCAGAGGACGTTAACATCAAGCACTCCTCATTTCATTGGTAGGAGAGACTACTTACATGCGGGCATTAATTGGAACTATTGTATCATTTGGGGATACTCTTTGTAATTTTATTTTAGGGGACGTAGGAGGCTTAAAAATGGGGATTAATTTTGCTGAATTAAACCTGCCAATTACTAAAAAATAAATTATGACAATTCACCAACGAAATTTTACGCCTACACTGTCTATTATATAGAACTTTTTCATTAATAGAAACAGTACAATACTGACAATGATTGATTATATATTTTATATTATTTTATTATTGTGCATGTGTAGATGGTGGCCTGTCTCCTGTAGTAAAAGGCACTGGCTTAGACGAGAAACAAAGTGGAGAGATATCATCTCTTAAATCCCAGCTAGGAGCAAAATCCAAGTAAGCAAGAAGGAGACAAAATTGTTTATTAATTTTTAATTTTTCTTTATTTTATTTTTAAGGACGTTAAAGAATTTGCATTCATGTCTGCGTGATCTGAAGTAGGCTCATGTGATGTGCTATGTGTATTCTAATAATGGAATTGATGATTTCGATTTTATTTTTTATTCTAATTATAGGAATGATATGGGTGACATACAGACAAGGATGGATCACCACACTTCCTCGTTACAGAATTCATACAGATCATCGCAGTAATAATAATTTTAAATTAGTTTCTCATGCTACATGTACATGTACATGTATGTAAAAAGTTTGAGCTGATTTTGATGAAAATTGAAGTTGCTTCAAAATCTTGCCAAAGTCTCTGTACTGTAGCTCGCCAAATTTTGCCAAAAATGAAAAGGAGAGGATTTTTCATTTTTATTACATTTCCTGATGCATATACATGTTCTTTTGTTGTGTAGAAAATTTGAGCTCATTCCGATCAAAATTGGATTTTTTTACGAATTTTTAAAGTTGCTCCAAAATCGGGTAAAAGTCCCTGTACTATAGTACATGGTCTTGGGCCAAATTTTGCCAAAAATGAAAAGTAGAGAATTCTTCATTTTTATTACATTTTCTGATGCATATACAGTACATGTACATGCACTTATGTTGCAGCAGCTTTATTATTAGTTTTTTGTGTACATGTAGACAATTAGAGGAGAAAATAAGGTCATTGCAACTGAGTAGAAGTAACAGTAGTCATTCAACAAGGTCGATCACACCTTCAAATTGAAACTGAAACTATTATTATTATTATCATTATTATTACTGCTACTGTTTTTAAAGATTTTCTTAACTAAAAAAAGGCTAAATACTTCACTGAAAAAAAAGAAAAATACTCTAAGAGACAAAGACATGAAAATAATAATACAGATATACAAACAGTTCCTAGGCTAACAAAAAAAAGTTCAAGTATCTTGTGCTGCCACAGCAGCTCCATGCCACCAGCCTACTGTATAACAATGGCCAGGACTGTTAACAGTAGAACTGTCATGAAAGCAAATGTAGCAGTGACACCACTTGAAGTTGGAGGCACTACAGGAAAAAAGAAATAAAATTAGTCACACCAAGTCATCAGTGATAATACAGCTCTTATTACCATTAGTAGTTGGAGTACTAGTAGTTGGTGTACTAGTACTGTTGTTTCCTCCGGTGTTGTTAGTATTATTATTATTATTGATGTTTGCATCAATCTCAGCTTCGCTGGCCAGCAGTATAAACTGATAAGACGTTGGAAGAGATGCTTCAGTAGTCTCCCTACGACTTCTGATAGTTGTGCCAATGGATCTATTGATAGCAGCAGTCATGTTAGTAGAGGCATTGTAGCAATCACACTGAGATCCATTGGTTAGTGCTGCAAGGACTAGCTCAATATTACCACCAGAAGTTAGTACTGGTTCCACAGAGCAGCTACAAGAATAAAGAATTGATATAATGGAGCAAAGGGCTAAAAGCAATGTGCAAAGTGAAATATTAAGAATAATAATCACTGAAATAAATATGTTCAGAACTACTCTACTACATTTTATGTTACTGACCGTCCAGATAAATTATAAAAAACGTCTTCTGAGGCTCCCAGTTGCCCCATCAACCCGTCCAGTGTCTCAAGGTCAGGGTCCAGGGAGCTGGCCTCACTGATACCATTCCTATCCAGTAGTGCTAGTACAGCTCCACCTATTAACAGATCACATGACTATCACATGATCAACAGTCCCTTACCACACAATGGACAGCATCCAACTGCGGGCCTTATCAGACACTTGCAATTGTCGGAATTAAATCGACAGCGGCCATTTGCAATAACTTGGTCACAGACATCGCTAGCTGTCATGTTTTCATCGTCAATGCAAGTTCCTTTGTAGTCCATTCGGGCATTGTCTGATCTCGTACGCAACTCACATATATTCTCATAAGTCTCACCATCAGTCCCACAAACCTATGGAGTTAAAACAGAATTAGAAATATGCATGAATATTTACTTACACTTCCTCCTTTACATCTTGAGGCATTACAGTGCCCAGCGTGAAGTACTTGTACATCATTGGAGGTCTGTAGCATGTGACATATTGATGCATATGTGTTTCCATCAGTCCCACATATTGAAGTATCATCAGGATCAACATCACCATTACCAATACCATCTCCATCAGTATCTGAGTCATCATCGTCATCAGTGCTATTGGTCACAGTGGTATTTGAGCAATCAAGATCTGTCACATTAACTGGAAGAGAATTAGTGGATAAAATGATACAAATATAAGATACATATATTTTAGCAATTACTCAAAATACTCAACAAACAAATTGTACTATTTTCTCTCTTTTTCTCTCTCGTCTGCTGCATAGGACAGTACTATACTTACTGCAGTATCTCAGTGTATCTGGTTTGCAGCCAGTATTTAGATTAAGACAAGACACTCCTCCTCTCCTTAAGCATATCTCACCGGATGAACACGGAAACCTTAAGCAAGGATTCTACACAAGTGATAAAAAGAGCTAAATGTAGCTATTTTGTTGTTGGCTCCCGTTAAAACCAAAAAAGTGATCAAGCCACTTATTGATACTTTGCACTGTTTAGCACTTACACTCTTGGCACAGCCACCTTCTACAAGATCAACAGAGGCTACTCCAGCACAATACACAGCTGTGCAACGGTTGATGTACGTCTTTCCATTAGGACCACAGACTTTGTCAACTTTCTCATAGCGACACTTGGTACAGTTGCTCATCTGTCTTCCGGTCATATTGCCACAATTCCTTTGAGTACACAACGGATCACCATACCTACACTTACACCTAAAGAACAAGATTGAGCATTACGTACAAGGTGGTATTGTTCAATTACCAGTTGCACTCTATTCTGGTTGATCTACCATTAGCAATGCTAGTACCGTCATCTAAAGTACAATTATTCTTTGCACTACAGCCAGTGCAGTTACTCCTAGTCTTACAATACATTGTACCAAAGAGACATATGCACTTTTTACATGAGCACGGATCAATGTCATGCTTTCCATGGCTCACAATGAAACGACGTCCATCTCTAGTGACACTACATATCCCATATACTTAAAAAGGGAATAAAATTCAAGATCTATTGGAAATATTAGTTTTTACCACTTGTAGTGCACTTAGGTTTCTTCCTCTCATTCTCTTCCTTGTTTCCAGTGGTACTGAATGTTGTTTTGGTGTTATTCAGTCTTGTTCCATTGATAGGGAAGACACATATGCAGCTCATCCTAATGTTCCTGGTTTTACAGTATCTAGGCTTGAAATAACCATTGTTGTCACACTCATTAGAACTTTTCCCTCTCTGACTGAAGCATACTCCTATTAACATAAGACAATGGATAAACAATGGGTATTATGATCCTTGCATTATATGCATGACATGTGGTATTAGTTGATTAAAAATTGCTATTTCTATATTGTCACAATGTAAGTGAATATTAATGACACTACTTATCAAATGACAAGGTAACACAATGCAGTTCTCGTGTACTTACCAGTTACATTTTTCTTTTCACATTTCCCTTCACTCCCATCTCCTTTCTTCCTGCAGTAGTAGCCGTTTTGACACTCTTTCTTTGCCTTGTTTATCATTCTTGAGACCTTACGAGATAAAGCTCCAGCAAATAACATACTAACATGTTTCCTCTCTTCCTTTTCGATGTTTTCTTCTTCTTGAGAGCTTGCTAGCTTAAGTATGAACTCAGGAATTGATATATCATCATTAACGTTATCATCATCATCTCTGTCATTACTCTCTTCTTCTCTTTTACAAGTATCATTAGCTCCCAGCTCTGAAAAAAAAGCAAATGCATTGAATTGGTACATGTGTATGTGTATGTGACTTTAATTTATCTGGATGCTTATGTTTTGTTTCTAATAATATATTTGGTTATGAAAGTTTATATATTTTATGATCAAATGAGTAATGACATACTTGGCCTGCATGTTCCCCAACCATAGCCACGAGTGACATATTCTTCATCACTACCACATCTTCTTGGAGTGTTTGGGTTACCTCCTCCTGTTGTGTCTATCATGATTGAGTATTACGAGTACAATGGACATAATTATTATCTCTTACTGCTTGCGTTGCAGTTTGGTTTACATTTCAAGCAGAATTTATCTTTGGTGATACAGTGACGACTTCCACAGCCTCTAATGGCATCAGAAATACGTGTGTAGTTGCAGTTCACTGAACATAATAAAGAAACTATTTAAAATATTTGGTGGATTAAAACTAACATTGCTTGCATGAGCACAGTTTGCATACTCCATTGGTAGCGTAGCCATATTTACAATTCAGCCTGCAGGGTTGCTGGGGACCACATGCCTCAACTAAAATGATAGTAATTGTAAGTATTAAATATGTTACTCACGATTTATGCAGTAGGTGGCGTTTTGAGTGCCATTTCTAAAAGAATTGGTCATTTCCAGTTTCCTCCCAGTTGTAGTGTTTACACAATGGCAATACTTATTCCTGCACTGGAGCCTACTGTAACTCCCATCATCTTCACAGCTTATGTACTTGTAGAATCTCCTTGCCGCCTGACAAGAGAGATCTCTCTTACCTGTAGGAGAATCAAGAATATACAAATGAATGAAGTGTTTATTATCAGTACCAAATCCAAAGGCATTAGTATTCTGCAGGGCAAGGACAGTCAACAAGAAAACTAAAGCTAAAATGAAGACAATCATTAACAGCAAAAAACTTTCTTAAGACTAACCAAAAGTTTTCAACATGATTTTCTCTCTCTCTTCCAAAATGAGTGTCCTGCAAACTGCAGCTATTTTTATTCCTGTACTCTGCGTGGGTGTATGTGTACGTGTGCAAGCTTCAGCCCCACCCACTACAATTATTTTATTTTTTATTATTTTGCTAAAATTATTTTAATTTTTATTATTAGCAAAAAACGACAAAAAGGAAACTACAAACAAAATACATTTATGAAGCAAATAAAAATGATCAAAGTTTTTCATGCCACCAGCCCACTATATAACAATGGCCAGCACTGTTAACAGTAGAACTGTCATGAAAGCAAATGTAGCAGTGACACCACTTGAAGTTGGAGTTGCTGTAGTACCAGTACCTTCAGTACCAGGACCTCCAGTACTAGTTTCAAGCTGAGCTTCACTGGCCCCCAGTATATACTGATAAGATGGAGAGAGAGAAGTATCTGTGTTTGTAGTGGCCTGTCTGCGTTTCCTGGATTGTTCTTCAACTGAGCGATTAATGGCTATGGTTATATTAGTTGCAACACGATGGCAATAGCATCTATCATTAGATCTATTGCTCATTGAACTTATTGCAAGCTCAATGTTACCAGCAGTAGTTAAACTTGATTCTACTGAGCAACTACAGAAAAAACACACGACATGAAAGTATCAATTTAAAATATACTCTGACACTAACCGTCCAGCTGTTACATTTAAAAACAATTCATCCGACACAATTTGTCTGACATAGCCATCCAGTGTCTCAAGGTCTGGGTCTAAAGAGCTTGCATTACTGATACCTTCTATATCCAGTAGTGCTAGTATAGCTCCACCTATTAACAGATCACATGACTATCACATGATCACTAGTCCCTTACCACACACAGGACAGCATCCAACTGTAGGACGGACCAGACAAGGACAGTTACTGGTATTAAAACGACAGCGTCCACTTGAAATGACACGTTCACATACTCCATCAGGTGTTTCATCACTATCATCAACACAGGCTCCTCTATAATCAAACCTTGCATTATTTGATTGGGTACGCAATTCACAAATATTCTCATACGTCACTCCATCAGTACCACAAACCTACATAATTTAATAAAGTTACATCACGTATGTTTGCAAACAATAGATTGTTCTTTATTGAATATCAATATCCATAATTGGAGTGATGTCAATAAAACAATTACTTACTCGTCCTCCTTTACATCTTAAAGCATTACAGTGTCCAGCATGAAGTATTGTAACATTAACAGTGCTCTGTACCATGTGACATATTGATGCATATGTGTTTCCATCAGTCCCACATATTGAAGTATCATCAGGATCAACATCACCATTACCAATACCATCTCCATCAGTATCTGAGTCATCATCATCATCATCATCATCATCATCATCACTAACTGCTGTTTCATTAGTACAAGATAAATCTGTCACATTAACTACAAAAAAAGATCGCAAACTTTCCATTTATTGATTCATTTTCTTACTGCAGTGCCTTAGTGTGTCTGGTCTACAGCCTGTATTACGAGCCAGACAGGACACTCCTCCTCTTTTTAAACAGACCTGACCAGGATCACATGGAAATCTGATGCAAGGATTCTATTAGACATAAAAGGAATTGATTTGTTTGTTAAGGATGTCTTTGCAAGATAAAATCAACTTACTGTCCTTGGACACGGTCCATCAATGAGATCAACAGAAGCTATCCCAGCACAATATATGGCAGTGCAGCTGTTGATGTATGTCTTTCCATTTGGACCACAGACTCTACTGACTCCTTCTGATCTACATCTAGTGCAATTGGTGTCAGTAGTAGCTGTTGTATTGCAATCTCTATCAGTGCAATAAAGATTACCATATCTACATGAACACCTATTGAAATAGAATATTAATAACCTAGCTTCCAATATTTTCTTATACTCACCTGTTACAGTCTACCCTAGCTGATTGTCCATGCCTTATGACAGTATCATTAGGCAGTGTGCATGTCTTAGTTGAGTCACATCTTCTGCAGTTTCTTCTTGTCCTGCAGTACAGTGTACCAAAGTAGCAGACACATGTTCTGCACATGCAAGGATTCGTGTCACGCTCTCCATGTTTCATCGAAAACCTTCTGCCACCTCTTGTAACTCTACAAGTACCATACACTGCGAAAAGAGTACATTCAATGCTACATAATACAAAGTATAATCTTTATACCTCTTTCACTACATTTTGGTTTCCTATTTTCATTCTCCTCCTCATTCCCAGTGTCTTCAAAAGTGGTGCGAGTATCAGCCAGTCTAGTTCCATTGCTAGGAATGACACACACACATATAATCCTCCTCCTGTTATTAACAGTCACTACTCTACAGTAGCGTGGTTTGTAGTATCCATTACTGTCACATTCCCCTGATGCATTGTTACTATTCCTGTAGCAAACACCTATGAATAAATATTTTAATGTTATGTTAATTCTGAGGGCCATATTCTACTAACCATCTGTATTTTGCTGTTCACATCTTCCTCTACTATCATCACGTACTTTCCTACAATAATATCCATCACTGCACTGGTTGATGTATCTGTTAATCTTCCTTGATGCCCTGCGTGATGATGATCCAGTGACTATACGACTGACTCTGTCGTCTTCATCCTTTTCCATCATGTCTTCTTCCATTGAGCTTGCCAGCTCTAATTGTGCAACAGGTATGTCATCAGAAACAAAGTCATCATCATCATCATCGTCATCGTCATCATCATCATCATCATCATCATCATCATCATCATCATCATCATCATCATAAACATCATCATCATCATCATCATCCTCTTCTTCTCTGACACAAGTGTCATTACCGCTTAATTCTTGTTAACGATGAAAAGAGGATCACAATAAGTCAATGAATTGATACAAATGTATACGTGTATACTAACAGCTAAAAATAGAATGGCTATTTTTAGCAAAGATCATGCAATGCTTACACTTTATTTGTTTATATTTACAAGTTTACATGCATTATAATATACTTGACAGTTATCTATTATAATAAAGACTGACTTGGCCTGCATGTTCCCCAACCATAGCCACGTCTAACATATTCTTCATCACTACCACATCTTGTTGGAGCATTTGGGCCTGTTGTTTCTATTGAATATGCATATGTATAACTATAAAAATGGACATCTCTTACGGTCACAGTTTGTTCTACATTTTAAGCAAAAATTATCTATTGTGATGCAGCGAATGCTTCCACAGCCTCTGATAGCATCAGAAATACGTGTGTAGTTGCAGTTCACTGGACGTAATAAAGAAACTATTTAAAATATTTGGTGGATTAAAACTAACATTGCTTGCATGAGCACAGTTTGCAAACTCCATTGGTAGCGTAGCCATATTTACAGTTCAGCCTGCAGGGTTGCTGGGGACCACATGCCTCAACTAAAATGATATTAAATGTAGGTATTGATTGTGTTACTCACGCTTCATGCAGTAAGTGGCATTTTGTGTGCCATTTTTAAAAGACTCAGTCAATTCTAGTCTCTCTCCTGTTGTAGTGTTTACACAATGGCAGTATTTATTCCTGCACTGGATTCTGCTGTAACTTCCATCATCCTCACAGCTTATGTACTCATAGAATCTCCTCGCCCTCTCACAAGAGACGACTCTCACATTACCTGTAGTAAAGTAACCGAAAAATAATCACTAATAATAAAAGCTTAGAAGCTTACCAAATCTATTGGCATCAGCAAGCTGGAGCGCAATAACAGTTAGGAAGAAAGCTAAAGCTAAAACAGAGAGAATATTAAAAGCAAAAGACTTGCTTGTGACTAACCGAAAGCGGCTTTTGGCATGATTTCCTTCTCTCTTCCAAAAAATGATCCAGCCTCCCAAACCGCATCTTTTATTTTCAATGCAAGAAACCATAGATATTAATGACAACTTAATAACTCTTAATTAGGTAAGAAATGTTAATAAAAAGGAACTACAGAACAACCATAGATATTAGAGACTACGTAACCGGGATAGGCAACGGAATCACGTGATCCATTACATTGTGTATAATCGGGCCGATACAGTCCTTGTCTTCCGCCATGTTTCCAATCCCGTATACGTAGTCTCTAATATCTATGATTGAACACACTACTCATTAAAGCAAATAAAAATGAGTAATCAAAGCAAATAAAACTGAATAATCAAAGCAAATAAAAATAATCAAAGTTTTCCGCGCAACCATGCAGCCCACTATATAACAATGGCCAGGACTGTTAACAGAAGAACTGTCATGAAAGCAAATGTAGCAGTGACACCACTTGAAGTTGGAGTTGCTGTAGTACCAGTACTTTCAGTACCAGGACCTCCAGTACTAGTTTCAAGTTGAGCTTCACTGGCCCCCAGGATATACTGGTAAGATGGCGAGAGAGAAGTATCTGTGTTTGTAGTGGCCTGTCTACGTTTCCTGGATTGCTCTTCAACTGAGCGATTGATGGCTATGGTTATATTAGTTGCAACATGATGGCAATAGCATCTATCATTAGATCTATTGCTCAATGAACTTATTGCAAGCTCAATGTTACCAGCAGTAGTTAAACTTGATTCTACTGAGCAACTACAGAAAAAACACACAACATGAAAATATTAATTTAAAATATATTCTGATACTAACCGTCCAGCTGTTACATTTAGAAACAATTCATCCGACACAATTTGTCTGACATAGCCATCCAGTGTCTCAAGGTCTGGGTCTAATAAACTTGCATTACTGATACCTTCTCTATCCAGTAGTGCTAGTATAGCTCCACCTATTAATGGATCACATGACTATCACATGATCACTAGTCTCTTACCACACAACGGACAGCATCCAACTGTAGGACGGACTAGGCAAGGACAGTTACTGGTATTAAAACGACAGCGTCCACTTGAAATGACACGCTGACACATTTGACCAGCTGTTTCATCACTGTCATCAACACAGGCCCCTCTATAATCAAACCTTGCATTATTTGATTGGGTACGCAATTCACAAATATTCTCATACGTCACTCCATCAGTACCACAAACCTACATAATTTAATAAGTTGCATTATGCATGTTTGCATACAATAGACTGCTCTTTATTAAATATCAATATCTATAAATGGAGTGATGTCAATAAAACAATTACTTACTTGTCCTCCTTTACATCTTGAAGCATTACAGTGTCCAGCATAAAGTATGGTCACATTAACAGTGCTCTGTAGCATGTGACATATTGATGCATATGTGTTTCCATCAGTCCCACATATTGAAGTATCATCAGGATCAACATCACCATTACCAATACCATCTCCATCAGTATCTGAGTCATCATCATCATCATCATCAGTACTTGTCCTTGTTGCTGTTTCATTAGTACAGGATAAATCTTCCACACTAACTAAAAAAGGAGAAAATCTCAACTATTTATTTTTTTATTTATTTATTTTCTTACTGCAGTGCCTTAGTGTGTCTGGTCTACAGCCAGTGTCACGGCTCAGACAAGACACTCCTCCTCTTTTTAAACAAACCTGACCAGAATCACATGGAAATCTGATGCAAGGATTCTGATAGACATAAAAGGAAGTGATTTGTGTGTTAAGGATGTCTTTGTAAGGTAAAATCAACTTACTGTCCTTGGACACGGTCCATCAATGAGATCAACAGAAGCTATCCCAGCACAATATATGGCAGTGCAGCTGTTGATGTATGTCTTTCCATTTGGACCACAGACTCTACTGACCCCTTCTGATCTACATCTAGTGCAATTGGTTTCAGTAGTAACTGTTGTATTGCAATCTCTATCAGTGCAATAAAGATTACCATATCTACATGAACACCTATTGAAATAGAATATTAATAACCTAGCTTCCAATATTTTCTTATACTCACCTGTTACAGTCTACCCTAGCTGATTGTCCATGCCTTATGACAGTATTATTAGGCAGTGTGCATGTCTTAGTTAAGTCACATCTTCTGCAGTTTCTTCTTGTCCTGCAGTACAGTGTACCAAAGTAGCAGACACATGTTCTGCACATGCAAGGATTCGTGTCATGCTCTCCATGTTTTACCAAAAACCTTCTTCCACCTCTTGTAACTCTACAAGTACCATACACTGCGAAAAGAGTACCACACATACAAAGTAGTTATTGTATTTACCTCTTTCCCTGCATCTTGGTTTCCTATTTTCATTCTCCTCCTCATTCCCAGTGTCTTCAAAAGTGGTGCGAGTATCATTCAGTCTAGTTCCATTGCTAGGAATGACACACACACATATAATCCTTCTCCTGTTATTAACAGTCACTACTCTACAGTAGCGTGGTTTGTAGTATCCATTACTGTCACATTCCTCTGGTGTATTGCTATTCTTGTAGCAAATGCCTATAAAATTGTGTTTAATAAGCATGAAAGTTCTTTCTTATCTATACCATTTGTATTCTGTTGATAGCATCTTCCTCTACTACCATCCCTTATTTTCCTACAATAGTATCCATTACGGCACCGATTGATGTATCTGTTAATCTTTCTTGATGCCCTGCGTGATGATGATCCAGTGAATATGCGACTGATTTTGTCATCTTCATCCTTTTCCATCATGTCTTCTTCGGTTGAGCTTGCCAGCTCTAACTCAACAGGAGGTATGTCATCGGAAACATAATCGTCTTCATCACCGTCTTGATTACTACCATCATGATCATTATCATGATCATCATCACGATCATCATCTTGTTCATGATCATCATCATAATCATCATCATCATCATTGTCATCATCTCTCACACAAGTATCATTCCTCCTCAGTTCTATTACATAAAAGAAAGTGACACATTTATAAATGAAACATAATACTAGCTATTGTCTTACTTGGCCTGCAGGCTCCCCTACCAAATCCATACCTCACATATTCTTCATCACTCCCACAACTCGTTGGTATAGTAATGTCTAAATTGAATTGATAGTTTACATGCATCAATAATGGTATTTCCTTACTTGTTGAATTACATCCTTGTATGCACGAGATGCAAATACCATTATAGGTAACACAACCAACTCCGCATCTCTTGATGGCAGTTTTAATACTGGTATAGTCACACCTGACTGTGCATGTGAAGATCATGTGAATGATTGTTTTATGTAGGGTAATGACATTAAAGCCAACAATGGAAGGAATTATATAATTAAGATAAGATTAATTTAGACAGCAATTTGTTATAACACGAGTTAATTTGATCTATATATATACCTTGTTTGCAGGAGCACTGTCTGCAGCCTTGATCATCAGTAGTGTACCCTCTCAGACAAAACAACTTGCAATTCCATGGGCCACATGCTATCACTAAAAAAACATTAATAAAGGATATTAACTTTCTTTCTGATGAACAGGATCTGTGATTGTTATTTTAGCAGTTTCATCAAAAATTATTTATTTACATTTTTTGCAGTAATTGCTTGGCTTGGAGCCGACCCGGAAAGAAAGAGAGCCAGAGATTGGTACACGAGTGGTGCCATTCACACAAGAGCAGTAGTTATTCCTGCACTGTGTAATGTTATAGCTACCATCAGGCAAGCAGCTAATATGTCTGTTGAATCTTCTTGCAGTTTTACAAGAAATCACTCTCCCTATGATAACTAGTGATTAGTGATGCTAGTGTAGCTGCTTACCATCAAAATCAATAGCATTCACAGCTTGCTGTGTTATTAAAACCAGAAATAAGAAATCTAGAATATATTAAATAATTAAAAATATCAAAAAAGTAATAGTTTTATGCATAAATCTACACTTACAAAAAGCTTTCAGCATTTTTGCAATTCTTTCCTCTTGCTTTAAGCTGGAGGCAAGAAAGGTTAAAGCTGCAAGGGAGCATTCTCCAGTGGTTTATGTACTGGAGTTCAACCAGGAACCAGCCACACCTTCTAATCTTAACGGGTGTGGCTGTGTAGGCGTGGTCTTATTTTTAAAGGCGGCAAATCGAGGGAGAATGAAGATCCTTGATCAAGAGATTGTGAGCGAATTTTACGAGAAACTAAGGCACCAGGCAAGACAAAGAGACCCTTATACAAGCATTATTGATGCATTTTATTACAGCACGTGCTGGTACTGGCGGCCTGGGACGTGGACTCGGTCTGCGCCTGTAAAATACTCCAGTATCTTTTTAAATCTGACAACATTGCGTACACTCTCATACCAGTATCTGACATTAGGGACCTTCAGAAAGCACTCATTGATCACTCAGGACAAGTGAGACCATCTATTCTTGAATTTATAATTTAAAAATATAAAATTTATTTTAGTCGAGCAAGGTTGTATTAATTAATTGTGGAGGTGGGGTCAATATACATGAATTGATTGAGTCGGATGAAAGGAACCAGTTTTTTATTATTGACAGGTGCTCATCAATGTACATGTAATTGTTATAAATAAATTATTATAATAATTAGTTATCGACCTTTGGAGATTGATAATATATATAGTCCGGAGCAGGTCAGTAATCTATTAGTAATCTATCAGTATATTATTGGTATATTCTTAGGTCAATGTTGTCATTGATGAGTCCGAGCATTTAAAGTTTCCAGAATATGATGAGATATATGCCTCTGACATGGTAAGAGAGAGGGAGGGAGGGGGAGAGAGAGAGAGAGGGAGGGAAGGTCTCAGTTATTATAGCTGCTGTTGTCTTTCTAAGGATTCAGATGATGAAGGAGAAGGTCCTTCAAATGAAGAATTTTATTATGAAGGAGAGGAGGAGGAGGAGGAAGATGAAGGACCAGATACTAAGAGGAGAAGATTAGCAGTTAGTTAACTATCAATAATAGTTAATTAACTAATGTTAATGATCCTTGATTTCATTGCAGGAGTCGTTTCAAAAGAGACGGAAGAAGGTCGTGTGGAAAAAGAACAGGTTTATATGAGTATACAAGATTTGTGAATAATTTGTAATTTGAATTTGAACAGACAACAGGTGTTACTGGAGTACAATGGACTTAGTTATCACGGAACAGCTGTAAGTGAATTGGTCGATTTTTGATGAATAAATTTGGCCTGAGACCATGTACTATAGTACGGGGACTTTGGCATGATTTTGGAGCAATTTTAAAAATTCGTAAAAAATTCAATTTTGATCAGAATCAGCTCAAACTTTCTGCACAACATAAGAACATGTATATGTATCAAAAAATGTAATAAAAATGGAGAATTCTTTACTTTCCATTTTTGGCAAAATTTGGCCCGAGACCATGTACTATAGTACAGGGACTTTTACCCGATTTTGGAGCAACTTTAAAAATTTGTAAAAAATCCAATTTTGATTATAATCAGCTCAAACTTTCTACACAACATAAGAACATGTATATGCATCAGATAAAGTTATAAAAGTGAAGAATTTTCAACTTTTAATTTTTGGCAAAATTTGGCCCGAGACCATGTACTATAGTACAGGGACTTTTACCCGATTTTGGAGCAACTTCAAAAATAAAAAAAAAACAATTTTGATTGGAGTCAGCTCAAACCTTTTTCATAAAACATCTAATAAAAACTGGGCGTGGTTTTATTTTTAGATTCATTTTATTTCTCCCCCAGGCTTCCATCCTAATGTACCAGCTGGCACTCAAAATGTCTCGAGATTCAAATGAAGTTTTATGGTAACAATTACACAAATGTACCATGTTATACATGTATATCTTCTCTCTTCCTTTCCCCCCCTCTCTCTCTCTAGGTGGTCTATCATTGGTCTTACAGAACAATATTTATATGAGAAGATTAGCAGGTGCTTGTGTATTATTGTCAACCATCTTTGTTTCTATTTAAACCTCCTCCTCCTCCTCCTCTAGTGATAGTTATACTGAGAAGGTACACACCCTCAGACCTGATGTACTCAGATTAAACAGGAAGTAATCAGTTAATTAATTAATAAGTTAATTAACTATTAATCTTTAGTGATCAAGACACAGCCAGTTCTATAAATAGATTAAGACTCACTTTAGAAAACGAGTAAAAAAATCAAATTAATGAAATATTTATGTATAATTTTGTCTTTCGTTTTCTTTCTCTCTTTTTAAAAAGATTACCAGCTGTACTATACAGACATTGGTCATTATATGACAGCCTGTCCCATTCCCAGTACATCTCATGCTGGTAAATGGCAGACAGTATTATATTGATAGTCTTTATCTTTCTCTCTCTCTGAAGGTTTAAGACTTGGTCTATGAGAGGACACAAGAAGTTCTTGGAATTTCTTGCCGACATGGGGTAGGTGTGGCTAATAATAATAATAATAATAATAATGATGATGATGATGATGATAATGATAATGATGCAGTGAATTGATGGTAGTATCTCTTCTTTTAGACTCCCTCTCTCTCAGTCGAAGCAACCTTACTCAGCAATGGACGCTTCAATACAAGAGAATGTTAAAGACTGGATTACGTCCTCTGCTTTAAAATTCGGGTAAACTATAGCACTTTAATTTGGAGCTACTGTCCTTTAATAATTTTGTTATGAAGATGCATTTTTGTTATTATTTAATTTGGTGATTTTTGAGTACAAATGTATTATAGTATGAATATGAACAGTAATGATTAATTAATTATTGGTGGGTTTAATTTTCCAATCATAGGATGGATAATATCACATACAGTTCATTTGTCTCTCACATTGGCTACAAGCATCACTTCTCAGCAGCTGACATGGTCTACTGTGTTTCCGCCTTTTTAGAAAACAACGTTAGTAGCCAATACATGTACATGTACATGTAGTATTGTCGTATTGGTAGGTGGAGCCAAGTTTTCTGTCTGCAATAGATGTACTTAGCAAGTGAGATTTATTATTAATTAGTAATTATTATTATTATTAATAATAATAATTATTATTAATTAATAATAATAATTATTATTTTTAATTCTTAAAGAGGTAATGTAAAGAAGATTTTTGAAGGAATAGAACTAGCAAAACAGCAAGTAACTGCATCTAAAGGAGACGGAAACATCTTTACTTCTCTCCCCCTCCCTCCCTTTCTCTTCTTTCTGTTCCTATAGCAAAAGGCTATAATACAACAAGCTCGCTCCTTCACTGAGAAACACAGAGTGGGCTGTGCTGGATCTTTCATGTACTTCTACGTGGAAGAAGTAATTATTATTATTATTATTATTATTATTAAAATACATGTATATATTTATTTTTGTTTGCTTTTGATAATAAATGGCTATAGTAATAGTCAAATTTTATGAGAGACAATACCAAAATAGAATACATTCAAATGGTCTCATAACCCGTTGTAATGGTAGACATAATAGCAACACTGTACTCTAATACTGTTGTGTTATATACTATCTATTACTGGTGTATGTACATGTATTGTGTGGTTTCTGCTACTCACAGAACACTCCTAACTGTTCCTGGTTTGTGTCACCCATCACTCTTAAAAGGCTTGCATATTATCTGAGGGAAACCTGGAATACAACAGTAAGTGTATCTACATGTAGTATGTTATCTAATGTAGTAATTGTGTTATATGTAATGTGGCTTAGTCCATATTTGGATTATATGGAGAGTGTGTTACATATGGTTGTGTATAGTGGATGTATTGCATGTGAATTGGTATTGTGTGATGTACTTGGATGTGGGTATGTTTCATGGTTGTTATGTCTTTGTTGACTTGTTTTACTTGTTTTCAGAACAGGAAAGCCAAGGACTTACCTTTTA